TCCGAGGCTTTTAATCGACTCCCAAATTCTGTTCTGTCCCCAGATTCCCCCAAATGAAAAGAATCAGCCAAGAAATGGACAGAAATCCAGTTTTCAAGAAGGCACTTCTTTTTGTGTAAAGCATATTGGAGTAGCCACAGCTTGTTTAAACAGTGAATTGCAGCTTCGGGAGTGGAAATATGTCTTGCTTTGTTTTGTTGTCTGGAAAATATTTTAGGGGCCTGGGGGCTTCTGGACTGAAAAAGCCCCCTGATGGGGTAGCTCACCTACGCCATCAGGAAGGCTGATGACATGTTAAGAGTTTGGAAAAGCCCTACCTCCTCCTGAGAGCTGTCCTGCATGCCCTTCCATTCATGCCATGCTTAGTGGCTGTCCATTCAATGGGACACGGAACAAATCCCTTAAGCTTTCTGGATCCAAAGTCTAGCGATCGTATCAGGCAACTTTTGGCAAAGGCTGGGATTCTGGAATCTCTGCATGATTCTTGGAAGAAAAATATCCTGTGATGTATGTAGTGCGCAAGAATGAGCACTGAACTAAATGGGTCCAAGAATGAACTTTGTTGTGTGCACAGGGCTTCTATGCAGTCTAAGAGTGCCACTCATATATATTTCCCCATTTCACAAGCAAGACCTTTTATACAGAGCAATATATCTTGGAACCATTTAGTTCAGTGTTCATTCTTGCACCTCTGTGCGCATGCTTTCCCTCTTTCCCTGTCTCCCACACATCCATTCCAAGTCTAAACCGAAAAGATCAAAGCAGGATGTTTTGAAGACATGAAAGGTAGCTACCGAAGATTGCTTTGGCCTCCAAATTAGGAGTAGCAACGGTCTGCGCACAACCCCCACCCCCTTTTTTTTCCCAGTCCTCCCCTGCCAACACAGGACTTCTGTGTTCAGGCAAGGAACGGCATAAGCATGCTCCGGAGCTTTCATGAGACTTTTAAAACGGCCTCTCATCTTTGGATGTAAGGCAAAGACTTGCTGACAGAGCAGCTCTTTCTCTGAACTTGCCAAACTTTTTAAACAGGGCTCCCTTCGTCCGTGGAGATCTGAGCCGCTTCAGAAGGGAAGGAGAGAAGGCTCTGATCTTCACAGAAGATCGGCCTGTGTTTTAAAAATAAAATAAAATATGCAAAACACTTAGGCAGGGGGGCACGGACGGCTTAATGGAAAAGGAAAGTTTCTTGAAAGTTGAATTGTGGCCATTTCTGGGGGAAGAACAGCTGTAAACTATGTCCTGCTGAGGATGCCACCCGGGGCACTGAGGACAGTAGCAAGATTGTGTCCATTCGTTCTGTGCACTGGTTCTCAGCATTGGCTTTGGGGACTCTGGATTCGGTGGCCCAAAAGCCCAAAATCTTCCAAGCTCAGGTTGTGTGAGCAGAGCCCTCAGTTTATACCCAAGGAAGCTTAAGGACAGTCCTGTATGGGCAGCCCAAATCAGGTGGGCTCCCCCCCCCTTGCTGCTCGGAGGACCTGTCCTTGGCTCATTGGTTTTGACAATGAGAACAGGCAAACAGATGCAACAAAGTTGGGTCTCCGGATGGTCTGCCCTAGCACCCTCGTTTCAAAGACCGGGAAGCAGGACTTTAAAGAAGCCGTGGCCCAAGTGACCAGAAAGACTGGAAGGGAAGGAGGAAAGGGAATAAAAGCAGGATTAGAGTGGCTCCATCTTATGCACATTGCTTAGAAGCCCTAGTGGATCCTGTAGCAGTTACTCCCAAGCCTTGCACCTGTGAGACTGCAGTCCTTTGGCCTGTAGAACAGGAGCTGTCAACCAGCCAGACTCATGCCACCAGGTTCTTGGTAGGATTTGAGGGGTTTGTAAAAATTGTTAGGAAGTTACTGTCAAGTCATCTCCCTAAGAACCCTAAATAACTTTATAGACTTCTAGGGAAAAATCAGAAGCCTGTGTTTGTCACTGCTGGCATTTATCCTATTTCCACGATGACACCAGACAACCATTTCCAATCATATCAAAATTCATCTGGGTATCAAGGTGTAAGCCTTTCCATGGTGGCAAGAATTCCAGACAACACCAGCTTGTCTGATTCTACAAGCTTTATTTATCTACACTGCTTTCGTCACTTCATCCGCCTGGAGGCGTGACATGCTTTCTCTCCTGCTGGCCTTTTCTTCTTCTTCTTTTTTGGCCACAGATTATTCATCTGTGACATTTTTGGTCCCGACTAGTGATATCTTTTGGAATCCTGCTACTTTAGTAACTTTGGACACCTGACGATTCCCCTAACCTTCCGCGAGCCCCACCCACCCTCTTTGTCTTTTCAAACGGCAGCCACATTAAAATTCACAATGAACAGCACAGTTTTAATTCTCAATTATTAACCGAAGCATTAACCGTATTTTCTGGGTGTGTCTCCTCTCTAAAATACAACTGTGTGGATTGCTGCCCTGATACAAATGATGAAAAATAATTACAGAAGGGTTTGACAGCAACAGTGCCCCATTCTAAACATGCATGTGTCCATCTTGGAAAAACGGGAGGGTTTTTTGGGGGGTCCCTGATGGGTCTCACATTCTTTGCCAGGGTGAATGGTGGGAGGCAACATGTATTTATTTATTTCAATATGAAGCACTGAAATCCTTGGACTTTGTATGAAGCCCATCAATGACTTCCAGTCAGCACAACACAGAACAATGTGCACCTGCTGTTTTCCCTGACTTGATGGGTATTTTCATATAAATCTGTGATGCCGTTTGGAAATGGCTCAGCACATCTGGACACACCATCTTAAAAAAAAAAAGAATACAGCAAAACTAGGAAAGGCAAGCCGCCTAGAGTGGTCCTATGTGATTCAGATAGGCGGGATATAAATTAATAAATAAATAAATAAAGACGAAGGATGATCACATTGGAGAGAAGTGAGAATGCTTCTTTTCTGTTGGGCTTTATACTTTCCACACCCTCCCTCTCTCCTGTTTTCTTTCTTTCCACAAAAATGTATAAAGCCCACAGTCATGATCGCGTAGTGTGTCACTAAAGCAGAGAAAAGATACATACACTCTGAACATTCTTGCATACATAAAAACTTTTTAAGAAAAAGCTTATATAAAATACAGTACTAGTACACCCACCACGGGTGGCACATATAAGCATTATTACACAGTAATTCAAGAGGCAGTATATTTTTTACACTAAACTCATAGTGTCCTTTTCTGCATTTGATTGTGACACTCTTGGGTTCACCCTGGTGGAGAGTAGAACGGTGAATTTTTTCAGATCTCTCTTTAAAAGCAGCGTCTCTAGATGTGGACCGCGCTGTTTCAGATTACAAATCGTGGCAGGAGTGGGAATCGAATATCCATCTAAAAAGTAGCGGCTACTCACCTGTAGAAATCTAGCATGTCATAGATATATTTTGTTTTACCTTTCTCCCTAATCAACTAGTTTGCTAGGCACAGTTGAGATGAATCTAATCCCTTATGGCGGCTTGGATGTAAGTTCCATTGAGTTAAGCAGCACTTGCTTCTGAGTAAGCCTGTCTAAGGTTGTCATTTAAGTCAACTGCAGAAAATGGTTATTTTTAAAAGCAGAATAACTGGCCAACTCTATTACCGGTAGTTAAATATAGCATTACCTGCAAGTCTGGCAATGTAAAATATGTTGCCGAATGTATACACCCAGGACGCCACATCCTGTGGATTGGAAAAACAATTGGCCTTTGTACAGTATATGACTTTACAGAAACCGGACACCTGCAACTCCGACAAAGAAGCTTGAGCAACCTGTTTCAAAACATTTTAATTCTGTAACCACAGCCTCTCTGGCTCAGAGACATTCCCTCTGGAGCTGTTTTCAAATCTAGGTGAAGAAGGAAGGAAGGAAGGAAGGAAGGAAGGAAGGAAGGAAGGAAGGGTGTTCCTGACAGCTGGATGAGAGATGCCAGAGCAGCTATCCATCTGTATTAGACTTATATCCCACTTTGCCTGCACTCAGCCCATGCTGACCTACAGCGGACCCTCAACTTACAGACGGCTCCACTTACAGACTTTTTGAGATACAGACTTCTCTGGCTGCAAAAAACTGTCTCTTGGGCTTTCAGTGTGCATCTGCAATTCCTAGTGTGTTACTGAAGGAGTCAGTGTGTGCCTGTGAGCGTGGCGGGAAGTGTTAAAAGTCAGTGTTGGGCAGTCTCATTCTTCAGATCCAGTCCGATATTTGCTCACTTGTGGCGCCGTTAAGTTCTTTGCTCTATATATGGATATGCAAAGGCTCGTATGTTTGCAGAAGAAAAGCAGCCCACAAGCCTGGACTTTTGGAACCTGTTCACGCTGGCCCTGTGGTTTTTTCTTTTTTCTCATGGGGGGTGGCTGTTGCTACATGTCACGGATCAAGCTGGCCACTGAGAGAGCATCAGGGTGGCTCAAATGACCTCCCTTATCCAACGGATTAGTCAATTATGCCAAGTTAAGTACTCGGCTCAGCTTTCTCCCAAGGCAGAGGCAGCCTTCCCTCCTGCAGGCCTGTAAGGTACACAGATTCCCCTGAAACAGGGTGTGTGGTGATAGTGGCTGCAAGGAGAATTTTATGGGAAGGAAGGAAGGAAGGAAGGAAGGAAGGAAGGAAGGAAGGAAGGAAGCCTTTGGAAGGAAGGAAGGAAGGAAGGAAGGAAGGAAGGAAGGAAGCCTTTAAATATTTTTTAAAATGGATCTTTTGATTGAAATGTTACATCGTGATTTAAATCAACGTGATTTTGGAAAAAAAAATCCTCATTGGGAGTTCTCCGGGGCTCACATCAACCTTGTGAGGTAGGTCTAGGCCAAAAGAATGCAGCTGGCTCTAGGTCAGCTGGTGAGTTTCACAGCTTAGCGGAGAACTGAATCTGGGTCTCCTCAGTTGTCAAATGGCAGTCTAATTGCTGGATCGCTCAGTGGCTTAGATCTCTGGCTGTGGAGCTAGAGGCTGGGAGTTCGATTCCCCCCAGTGTCTTCTTGAGAGAGGCTGGACTCGATGAGCCATGGTTTCCCTTCCAACTCTGCAGTTCAACCGTTATTGTTGTTATTATTATTATATTAACCACTAGGCTGAGCTTGCTCTTCCCTCTGATAGGGTTCTTCTCCCAAACACGGACTTGTGGAGCCACGTCTTGAGAGAATTTTCCTTGCCCGATTGTGAACATGGACCCAGCCCAATGGGGGATCAGTGCTCCTTCAGGTATCCGTTGGTGTTCAAATTCATCTCTTTCCTCCACCAGCTCCTCCACGCGTGGTACTTCTTTATACTTTTCCGGCGCGCAAACCGGCATATGCTGACCATGAAAACCCACGACACGGCGTACATGACGACTCCCCCCATCTTGATGAACCACTTCGGCTTGGGCGACCGCAACACGCAGTACATCAGCCAAGCCCCGACCCCGATCCTCACCCCTCCAAAGAGGACCACGAAGAAGAAATCCACCACGTCCCCCACCAGCGTGTGGTAGAGTCCCTTCTCCCGGAGAAACCAGCGGGCCTGCAGGAGCGGGTTGGTGATTTCGCTCCCAAAGATGACGCCGTTGACCTCGGCCGCCGACTCGCCCAAGGCGAGGGAGACGGTGATCCCCAGGATGCTGACGGTGTGATGGGCCAACATCAGGGCGCCTTCTGCCTTGAAATAGACGCACCAGCCGAGGTCAAAGAGGAAGTAGCCCAGGCTCATACACAAGGCATGTACCTGGAGAGGGGTGTTTGGTGACCCTGAAAGGAAAGGCGCAGGTCATGTCAGCCGGTGCACTGCCCACAAGATCAGCTACAAAACTTTTCAGTGGAGGTCCAGTGTAGGAGGCCAGGGTCACAGCCCGTCACCAAAGAGCCAGGCTACATAGTCTGTAGACTCTCCTAATATAGCTCATGTGAAGGAGCCCCATGGATTGATTAGGTCCTATTAGGGCAACACATGGATTATCTGATCCTTCAAAGACAGCCTAATTTCATCCAAAGCATGCTCTGCCTCATCTGATTCAATTTGTGCCCTGAGTCCAGATCAATCTATACATCCCCACTGATATGCATTTTTGGGATGGGGGGGGATGGCAATAAGTTCTTTCTTTTTCTTTTTGCAATGGTGTACATGAAATATTGCATGGGACGTGGTGCCGCCGCAGGTTAAACCAGAAGACCAGCAGTCGGAAGATCGAATCCATGCGACGGAGTGAGCTCCCGTCGCTTGTCCCAGCTCCTGGCAACCTAGCAGTTTGAAAGCATGTAAAAATGCGAGTAGATAAATAGGCGCCACCTATTAAAATAAGAACAGGGCAGGTATGGAGGTAGGGGAGATGTTCCATTTATTCTCAATCCGAACTCTTTATTAAAATAAGAACAGGGCGGGTATGGAGGTAGGGGAGATGACGTTCCATTTATTCTCAATCCGAACTCTTTAGAGTTTATACATCAAAACCAGCCCCTTGCTTGAAAACCAGTTCTGTCCATTCAAGATTGGCGTTGTACAATCTCTAAAGCAGTGGTCCTCAACCTTGGGCCCGGCGTTGTGGTCCCCACCCTTGGGCCTCCAGATGTTCTTGGACTACAACTCCCAGAAGCCTTCACCACCACCTCTGCTGGCCAGGATTTCTGGGAGCTGATGTCTAAGAACACCTGGAGGCCCAAGGTTGGGGACCACTGCTCTAAAGGACATCTGAAAACAATCCAGCCCCTGCATTTTGCACTAGCTTGAGCTGGCTTCGGGGAGACAGACTGACCCCAGAACCCCCCTTGCCTTCCTCAGGGACTCCCCTCCACTTGAAATGCATACCATACCTGGGTAGGACATCGGCCACGGGCCATCAATGAAGCCGATGTAGCCAGAGAGGCAGGTGGCCAGGACTCCGTGGGTGAGCGTGACCAGCCGGCAGCTCCACTCGTACGTCTGGTCTTTGTACCGGTGGCGTGACCAGCTGTAGAGCGAGAGCCAGCCGAGCAGACTGAGAGCGATGCGAAGGACCATACTGGCAGCCATCCTGTGATGGGACAAAGAAGAGTTCAGACCCTCCTCAATTTTTTTTTACAAGCAGCCCCACGACCCACATGGGGGAAGGACCCTCTTGCCCCACACACCATGTGGCAACAAAGCATCTTTTCTTTTCTTTTTTGATCGGTGGAGGATGGGGAGAGGGGCTGCCTCCTAACCCCATCTAGAGGACCAGCCCATCTGGAGTGAAGCTAAACCCTTTCACCCTAGCGATGTGGCTGGAAAGATGAAGGACAGGTAGGGGTGTGTGTGCGAGAGAGAAGACTCTGAAGAAAGTCCAGGAAATCTGATGGAACGAAGTCTAAAATCGGTGGGGGACATCTTTATTAGGACTGACTTACTCTGAAGAAAGTCTGGGAAATCTGATGGAACAAAGTCTAAAATCTACAGGTGGGGGACATCTTTATTAGGACTGACTTGACATGGATAATATACACCATTTCCCCCCTTCCCATTTTACCATCTACCCTGATGGAAAGCACTGGAGGGAAAACTTTGGAAGTCCAGGAGTAGAAATAGCTGGTGTTTTTTTAAAAAATTATGCTGAGGACCATGGAGGGGTTCTGGGGTAGCCCAGGAGATGAAAAAAAATATCCCCCGCCCCCCGGCCTGCACATTATCCACCTTTCACCTAGCTTGAGGGTGATGATGGCGAAGAGTTCCGGCGAAGGAGAAAGCCTGCCTTATTTTCTGGTTTTGGAGCCCCTCTAAAACGGTGCTGTGCACGTGCGGACGCCGGCTCGCCTCCTCGGAGCGAGCGAGGCCTCCTCCTTGTCTTCGGAGGAGGAGGAGGAGGGGACGGGAAGGAAGAGTCTCCCGGGTAAACCACGGCTAAGACGCGGGAGGTGGGGGGGGGGACGAGAAGGCAGAGCTGGGAAGTCAGATCCCGGTGCGCTGGTGGGAGTCTTGTGGCTCCGCAGGGGGGGAAGAAGGGGGGGGGTTTACACTCCGCACGTGCTCAGAGACTCTTCTCTCTCCCAGGTGCCAAAAGCCGGGTGGCACCGGAGGCAAGAAGCGAGCGCGAGAGGAAACCCCGCCGGAGGGGCGCCCCATTCGCGCCGGGGATGCCGATGCCCCTCGCTGGGCGGCCACCGTGCCCACCTGTTTCCCGACCCAGCGAAGTCCCACGGAGCCGGTCCCTCTCTCCTCCCGCTCCAGAAATCCACGGCCGGGTCCCCGCTCCATCCCCCAGACCCCGCTTTCCTCCCGGGGACCCCCGCGCGCCCAGCCGCCCCGTGCGCCCTGGGCGCCAAGGCGCACGGCTGATGGAGAGCCCCGCGGCGCTCCTTTTGGAGAGCTTACCTGGCCCGCAGCGCCAGGCCGCGGAGGCGCGCTCGTCCCCTCCTTGGCCTCGCCTCCCTCCCTCGCTCGCTCGCGGAGATCGCCGAGCTCCAAAGATGGTTGGCAGCCGAGCGGAGGAGACCCGATCGAGGGTCACCTGCTGGAGCGGAGGACGGATCGCAGCGCCGTGGCGCTCGCCTCGGGCCCCCGGGGATGGCGAGGGAGCCGGAGCCGGGGGGAGAGCGGCCGGCCAGCTCAGCACCTCTGCCATATGGAGGGAGAGGAGAAAGAAGGAAGGAAAAGCGACACCACCGCCGCCACCACCCCCGACCGAAAAGAGAGAAAGGAAGGAAAGAGCACAAATATCAAGGGGAAACAAGAATACGCAGGAGCGCAAAAGTCCGTGCCAAGGCCCCACTTGCTATGGCTAAATTCCCTCGTACCTTTTGAACGGGTCACTCAAAAAACTGCTTCCTTTCCCCAGGCAGGGCGCGACAGAAGGCAAGGAATGAAGAGGAAAGAAGGAAAACCGATTAACCCATCCAGAGCAGATCTTTAAGTCTTTGGCTGACATTTTATTGCCTAGGAGGTCTCAAAGAGTCGGTGGCAATTGGGTGAGTCAACAGCTCCCTCCGTCTCCTAGATCCAAATGGGCCTACTCTGGTTACAGCTCACTACACTGAGAAACAGGATTTCAGCCCAGGTATCTCCACCCTGTCTAGCCAGCATGGAAGAGGGAGGAAGGGCAGAGGCTCTCGCATGTTGTTCTTTTGGCTGATTTAGGGCTGGTTTTGAATTGCTGTCGGAATCTGACACTTCCTTGGCTGGATGAAAACGGCGATGTCTGGCAAGCAAGCTCTGTGCGCTGGCCAGCATCGTAAATTATTGGGCAGAAGCAGCGAGTGTGGAATGGAAGGTTTAAGGGGATTCCCTTCCTCGCTGTAGATTTCCCAGGAAGGAAACATTATTCTCTTAGGAGAGGAGCCGTTTGGGAAAGAAGTGAAATTCACGTTACGCTCTTAAAAAGTGGACAATTCTTTCGTTTGTTTGTTTGTTTCATTTACAGCTGGCCTTTCTCCCAGAGTTGGGACTGAAGGTGGCTTACCGAAGAATTTAAAACAACACAAAGTTAAAACGCAGTAAAATCCCAAACCTTAAATCAGAATTAAATTCAAGTCCCTAAAGAAGATGCAATTAAAATTAAAACGCTTTAAAATCCATTCGCATCGTAATAATGCATTTATGTATAGAGACCACTACAAAATCATGAAATAAAGTGGTGATTCCCAGCCTTTGTTGAGTCATGACCCCCTTGTATAATAGCCAAGAAACCTGCAAGCCTGCCGACATTTTATTAGTTCTAACCTAACCTAAGGTGGCGCCTGTTTCTTTTCCACTCCAGTACTACTTATTGGTGGAGGCAGAAGACCCACATGTGTTGAAGGCCGTGGGCGAAATTCTGAGAGCTGTCATCTAAGAATGGGGTTGTAGAGGCCCGTCTGGATGGATCATCCCAGTGTTGCATCAATAGGATTTCTGTTGCTTTGGAATTATTCAAGGTCCTTGTTCATGATGCACTATATTAAAAGGCTGATTTCCATTTAATTGTTGTTGTTTAGTGATTAAGTCATGTCCAACTCTTCGTGACCCCATGGACCGGAGCACACCAGGCCCTCCTGTCTTCCACTGCCTCTCGAAGTTTGGTCAAATTCATGTTGGTAGCTTCAGTGACATTATCCAACCATCTCGTTCTCTGTCGTCCCCTTCTCCTCTTGCCTTCACACTTTCCCAACATCAGGGTCTTTTCCAGGGAGTCTTCTCTTCTCGTGAGATGGCCAAAGTATTGGAGCCTCAGCTTCAGGATCTGTCCTTCCAATGAGAACTCTGGGTTGACTTCCTTCAAAACGGATAGGTTTCCATTTAATACTTGTGTATTATTAAACTGGAAAGCTGGCCTTGTCTAGAATAACTAGTCATTAGGACACCATGACTCATGTTCTGTGATTCAGTTCTCAGTCTGATCATTGGAAGTATGCCTTCACCAGTTGCCCGAGTAGATACAAACACATTATATAATTAGCATTTGCTTGTTCTGTTTATTGAGATACGTGAGCTCTGGATGCAGTGGAAATCGCGCCTGCCAGTTGTTAGGCAAAGTTCACCACTACATCCTGCACTTTTCGTTTCTCCGCTTTGAGAAAGATCTAGAGTGCCACGCAGCACATGGAAAAGAATGAAGGGACCCTAAGATGGTAAGATCCACGTGTTATATAAAAGACAGAGATGTAAACTGTAATGTGGTTTGTCTTAAATAACAGTGACAACAAAAACAATAGTGCTGTATAATTTGGTCAGTTGTGTAGAAATCTGTGCATTTCAGAGAATGTGTTTTTGGGGCGGGAGGGCTGCACAAAAACTTAAAGCAATGCTGCCTTGCTGTGGTTCATACTCCAAAAAAACGGAAGCATGGAATGGGTTGTGTGCATCTTAGTGAGACATATTTTTAAAAAGTGTGCTGCTCCTATACTGCTGCATTGCAGTGATGGGGCCAACTTTGGGAAAGTAGCAACCTCTGCTCCCTCTCGGGGTGGCTGTCGATCCTGGCAAAGTTTATTTTCGAGGCTATGAAGCTTAAGACCCTTCAGCTGATGGCAATGCTGGCTCGGGGGATTTTTGCTTTAAAGGATAATTTCCAAAAGTTGGGGAAGAAAGTGGCTTTTGTGCATTTGTTTTTGTTGTTTAGTCATTAAGTTGCATCTGACTCTTCGTGACCCCATGAACCAGAGCAGGCCAGGCCCCCCTGTCTTCCACTGCCTCCCCTGTGCATTACAGCTTCCTAAATACTCCAGCCAGCATAGTCCGTGGGTAATTTCTACATTTTGCACATGCCGAAGCTGTGTTCTAGACCAGTTTGACTATTCTTGACTGCGCTTTATGCCAGTTAAAGTGGTGTTACTCCAGCTTAACTCTCTTGGATTCCATTCTCCTCTGGAAGAAGGCAGGGCTTTATACTGATTTGAGGATGTGCTAGAAATCTTGTGCTAAAGACCACCAGGGACCCTCCCCTCTCCTTGTAGCCCTGGAATTTAGGGCCCAGTTATACATTCCAGATAGCATGTTAAAGCTGAAATCACACTAAGGTTCAAGAGTCAGGATTGAGGTGTTACAAGAACAAACCCCCACCACACCTCAGTGTAGAGAGAATCAGAGTTGTAAATCAGGTTGGACCACTGGGGTTTGGGTCAAAATCTGGAGGCTGCAAGCATGCAAACCCACCTGTCGGTGTTTGCTTTTGGAAGGATGCAGACCGTCCTGCCCTGAGGTCATGTTCGGCCTCCAGCCACTTCTTTACAGCAGAAGGAGAAACACAACTGTCACATCTGTTGCACAACCCACACGGTTGTCGTGCTTTCCTCCCCAGGCATGTAACCCCACTCCTCCCTCCTGTTCCCCCCATAGGCCATTCTCGTGGGACTCAAGCTTAACCAACAAAGCTGGGAAGCCCCTGGTGTCAACATTACTTGTAGCTCAGTTAGCAAAGGAGGAACGGCCCGACGGCCTGAAGACCAATCACAAAATAAGGCCAGCGGATCTGAAAACTCCAGGAGGTGAGGAACGCTCCTGCTGTGATCATCAGACACAACCCCGGCATTTAAAGAATTGATCGCTGCTGCTAGAGACATTGATGATGGCCCCCAACTTCCCGTGGAGAAGTAGTGATTCAGTTTTCCCTTGGCTTCCCCCCTGTGGTTGCGCCAGTCCTTCCCTTCCATCGCCCTGCAGAGAGGATGAGAGTGGTTGTCTAGCACATTTGTAAAGACACCAGCTTGGGGGAAGGCGGTGAGATTGTGTGACTCTTCTGAAGATGTATTTCCTAAAATGGAATTTTGGCTGCTGGTGGTTGGAAACAGGGCCAACAGACATAACAGGTGTTTTCAGGAGTAAAGTTAAGACCTGGCTATTTAGGCAGGCTTTCCCTCTCCTACTGTCATCTTAAATTTTGTCATTTTTCCCCATCTTGGATTTATGCTGCCCAGAGTAGACCTTTGGTCTAGATGGGCAGGGTAGAAGTCTAATAAAATAAAATAAAAAATAAATAAATTCTCTACAGTGGCATCCTGTCTTTCTCAGAGGTGGGAAACTTTGCTCTCTCAGAATACAGCTCGCAGAATGCTCCAGACAGTGTGGTCTAGAACTGTGTATAATGGTAGTTTTAGCTAAAAGGGGGGGGGGAATAGCAGCATTTTGCACCTCCAGTGTTTCTGGTGGAAATTATTTTCTCAGACCATTAAAAAAAAAACATTGCATAGAATCTAATCAGTTTTCAGGGCTATCCTTTCTGTTGTATTGTTGCTGCTTGTATTTCAGATAATCACCCTGCACTGTTTGTTATGGAAAGGCAAGACATACCTTTATTAATAAATGTACAAATAAATAAATAAATAAATAGAAATGATGAAGGCACACTTCCTTAAGAGTAAGCCCCATGAAGCTCCTGGGAATGGACAGACAAAGATAGTTTTGAACTGGAAGTCAGCGTGGCAGAGAGCACAGAGTCCAATATCCTTCAGTCTTCTCTGTCTGTACGCCTGGGGATGGCTCTAACCATTAGGCGGAGTAAAGAACACGAACCCAGGCCGTGGTTCTGGGGAGGAAAAAGACGGGAAGCACCGTTCCTTCTGAGCTGACTAGCTGTTCCCCTCTCTTGGAGTAAAGCCTCTTTGGTCATCAAAAACCTGAAACGATCAGCTAGTATCAAAAATGCCACCTTACGGCCAGAAGAAAGAATCAACAGCTTGGAATCCAGTGGCGTTTCTCTGTTTTGCCATAGGATGAACCCAACATCATTCTTGAGAGCCCTTCAGGCAGCAAATTTTCCGAGGTGGCAGCCAGCGGTCCCCCATTGGAGGGTTCCTGGGCGGATGTACAGAGGTAGATGCGCACCTTCTTTGGCAGACTCAAAAGTGAAAAACACAGTGGCGTGGAGGGGTCTGATCACCCGGCTGTCTTAAGGTAAAGAACGGGGTGACTTCTGGCAGAGACAGCTGGCTTTGCAGCCGCGTTAAAATCCCCTGGCAGTTCCCAGCATCATCCGCGAGATCCCATTCCTAGGAGATCAAGGGCAGCTTTCTGGAGCATGGCATGATTAGCACAGATTTAACCGCCCCCCCCCCCCGAGCACAAAGGAGAGTGTTCTGGACGACAGATCCAGATCAGCCCATGATGTGATGCCAAACAAAACAAAAACAACACAAAAAATAACACACAACCTCCTGTAAAAGATAGTGTGCTGAGATCAACTGAGCAGCATGCAACTTTTTTTTTTATAATGGCTCAAGAGATGGGACCCATTTTCTGCTCTGCTAGGATAGAGAAAGGATGTGTCGCTTTCGGCCACAATGCCAAGCTGACCCTTGTGGCAATCTGGCCCATTTGAAATGCCTGGACCAGACCAGCGCCGGACACAGCTGGCTCTAATATTAGCCTTGTGCAATGCAGGGAAAGTTGCTTTTGCTGACCTCTACTCCCAACCAACATGGCCAGCAGCAGCTGCAACCCAGAAAAGTCATTTTTCCCTCCAAAGAACTGGATGAGGCTATAAGGTCAAGATCCAAATCCTGCACGATGGGATTTCCAGCGCAGCCTTTCGGGAAGTGTTCAGCACCAAGGCTGGGGAGACTGCAGCGGCTCATCAAGGCTGACAATCCGGGAGAAAGCAAATGAGGCTGGAAAGTGGCCCGAGGCAAAAAGAACCCGTCATTACCTTTCGGCTTCTTTCAAGCGGGAAATGTGGACCGTCCAGCTAGGCAGGTCCTGCCCATGGTGGAATCCGAAGACGCCTGCCCTTCCTTGCCGAAGGTTACTGGGCCAACTCCCTGCCTTTCTAAAGGCCAAAAGTGGCTGACCAAACTTCCTTAGTTTTTGAGTGTCCATTTGCTTCAGTCTTTTTTAGCTGGCTATGAGATCAGTCTCAGTTTCCTACCTTGGGAGAGCCCTCAGCCCGAGACATTTCCTCGGGCTCCTCTTGCTATGCCGACACCTATTTTGCTTGCCTCCACGTGTGCTTCATTGCTCCTGTAAAGTGATGAGTGCTGAAACCACCAATTTTGGGATAGAAAGCCTGGAGTTGCCCTTGAGAGCATCAGGGCATTGCGCCCTCTTCAGGCGTGATGTGGAATACAGCCATCCAAGATGACCTCCCGTGATTGGCATGAGGAGCCTGTGACGTTGGCTTGATCAGAAAGAAGGGTCAGGGGGTCTGGCTTCACAGATATGCCAAGCAAAGAGAGCGGAAACCCTTCCTAGCAGTGGGAATGGCTTTCCGGGCCAGCCATCCTGCATCCTATTCTGCCCCCAGCAAGACCACCAGAACTGGCTGCCCCAAGCCAGTCCTCAAGTCCAGTCCATCTGTCCTCGGTAATCATTCTTAGTGGACCCTGTCTGCCCCCAAATGTTGTCCAGTCCACCTGCTCCTCTGCTGGTTTTCTGGGCTGCTTGACTTCCCAGCTCAAGTGTTCCTCCTGTGTTAACACTTTTCTACAGCCCCCTTCCATCTTCTTGGCCAAGCTCCCTTTCAGAAGAACACCCACCCATCGTTCAAGCCACGACTCAAAGTAGCTTGGTTTTGGAATATGCCTCATCTTTTGGAATGAGCTGGGAAGGCCAAGGATTCCATTTGGGTACCGCTAGCTTGGGCATCATTGTCTCCTTCATGTCCACATTGACGAGCAGGGATGTGTCCATTGCTCTTGAGATCCTCTCCCCCAGTTCTTCTATTTCTCCAAGCATAATATTTCTTGATTAGCTTCCTCTTGACGAAATTGAAGATGTCCACCAAAAACAGGAAGGACACAAGGTACATCGCCATCACTCCAGCCTTGAGGATCAAAATGGTCTTGGGTGAGGTCAAGACCGCACGCACGATCCAGGCTCCTCCAATGATCCGGAAGCCCAGGAAGAGAGTCACAAAGAGGCCGTCCACCACTTCTCCAATGACGTTGTAGTAGTGCCCCATACTCCGCAGAAACCAGCGCACCTGCAGCAAAGGGTTGGTGATCTCGCTCACGAAAAGGACGGCGTTGATCTCGGTAGCGGACTCGCCGTGCGCCAGCACGATCACCATGCCCCAGATGCTCAGCATATGGTGAGAAAGCATTAGCTCATCCTCACTGCTGAAATAGATGCACCAGCCAAGGTCAAAGATGAAGTATCCCAGCGTCAGGCACATGAGGAAGACTTGGAGAGCTGTGTTCGGGGATCCTAGAAGAAAGAGCAAGGAGAAACCCAGGTTGTGTTTGTTGTTGCTTCGTTTTCGTCACTTTTCTCCAAACACCACCATCATCATACTATTTTACACTATGTCAACAACACTTAATCTATATGATATTATATCATTAAATGTCCACTTTGTGCTTTTTCCCTGGGAAAATTTATCTATAAAATCCAAACAAAGTGACTTCTGGAAGTCAGGGAAACAACTGGCAGTCCTGTGGTGTCCGTGGCTTCCGTGGCACTTGGCCAATCAGCTTACAGCCGGATCCCGCTCCCAAGAATTTTTAGACACACCCACACTGGGTGACAGGTGCCTTGACAAATAATTAAAGGCCTAATCCTGCTGAACTAAATGCCAGAGAGGGCTTGCAAGGACACGGCAAAGGAATCCGTGGTGGTGCTGATCATCTTTCTGGTCTGTTTCAAGCAGTGAATCAAAATGAGACACAGTGGCAAAGAAAGGCGAGTGGTGAAAATTAGGATCGGAGAGATTGATGTTCATGTTCAGAAAGGTGCTCCAATAACAATTGGCTGGATAGCTCAGTGGTTTAGGTCTCTAGCTTCAGAGTCAGAGGTTGGGAGTTTGATTCCCCACGTTGCCTCTTGGAAGAAGAGCCAACCTGTGTAGCCTTAGGTAAAAGCGGCACAGTCCCAGGACGCCCCCTAGAGGAAGGGAATGGCAAACCACTTCTGAGTATTCTTTACCTCAGTGGTCCCCACCGTTGGGCCTCCAGATGTTCTTGGACTTCAACTCCCAGAAATCCTGGCCAGCAGAGGTGGTGGTGAAGGCTTCTGGGAGTTGTAGCCCAAGAACATCTGGAGGCCCAACTTTGGGGACCACTGCTTTACCTGGAAAACCTTGAGTAGGGTTGCCACAATTCAGAACAGAATTGACAGTGCAAGATCGTTATTAGTCCTACAATGCTACCCTTATGGGTCCTGTGCATAGCCCATAAGCCTTTGGATTGTGGGGGAAAGTTCTGAAGCCACGTTACTGGGGTGTGCTAATAAGAACCCGATAAAGATGTTCTATCACTTCCTTCTTTTGGAGCATCATTCTCTCTCTCTCTCTCTCTCTCTCTCTCTCTTCTTTTGGCCACCAAACCTGAAGCAGGAGACCTCAAATAACAGCTGGTCTTCTTTGAAACCTTTAAGGAACTGCTGTTGGAAACCAGGCTGCCAAAAATGGCAGAGATATCATTACTGGTCCAGTCCAGCTTGTGTCCTGTTGCACCTCCCTTATACGGAGATATTTAGGGAACTGTTCTTAAATTGTATCACCGTTGCCTCTGGGGTGCAGCCAAGTTGTGGGAGGGGAATGATGTATCTCCCAAAATTAGATGCAGAAAGGATGCCTATCTGAATAAAAGTTGGAAATGCTAATGAATAGGTACAGCTGCAGATTGAGCAAGAGCTATGACTTAAATAGAAAAATTGTAGGTTTCATCCCAGTGATGGGGTGGGCCTGCTAAGTCTGCAGTTCTTGGGTTAATACCTATCGATGGTCCATTTCAAGGTCCCCTTTGCTCCTTTCTTGAGATTTTTTGTTTTTTGAATCATTAAAAGCTGGAAGGAAAGGAAATACACGAAATCTTTGCTGGACACATTTTGCACTGATTATGCAATCTGCAGTCGGTGAAAAGAAAAAAAAATAAACCTGGATTCTGTGACCCTATAAACGATGCAATTGCATAATCTCTTGCATAATTCTGCAATAAAAATAACTCTTGTGCATTAAAACAAAAAACGATCGAGCGCTATTTTTGTGGCTTCTGGTAGCAATAGAGAGAGACAGAGAGACAAAGAGCGAAGCTAAGGCTTTGATTAAAACCCCAGTCAATCCCCTTTTTCTGAATCTTCTTGTCCAGTTAGGATTTTGACATTTCAGGCATAGGTCATAAGGACTAGAATCTTTGTTCGAAAAAGGCCGTCTATGGTATAACACATTCCTACTTTCGTTTGTATGGTTTGATTTTGCTTTCAGAGCTGCTAATCCTGAGGGAAGGCAAAAGTGGAAAGTTCGTGAGTACCAGAGCAAATGTTTATGGCTGGCTCGAGGAAAGCAGGAGCGCTCAAGTGAGCTGCGTGGAAACTGCCAGGTTGGTGAAGAAGCCGGAAGCAGCGGATAAAGTGCAGGAGTAAGACATCAGGTGGAGGTCAGAATGGCGAGCACCTGGGTGGAAGGGCAAGCAGGTGGCAAATGAGTATCAGGGCTAGTGCCAGGGCTAAGAGATGGAGCAACCCATCAGAAAGCCCATAATTTGAACTTCACCTCTGTCTTAAGCATGCCAAAGCTCCTCAGCCTCAACTTCTCCCATCTGTGAAATGGGTATAATCGTACTGACCTACGTTCCAGGCTCATGGCAAGGTAATACGGAGGCCCAATGGGCATGCTAGCGTGCACCAGCCTTAGAGATCTTCAAGGGAGGCCCTTCTCTCTGTTCTCCCAACTGCTGAGGTGCCCTGGGTGAGGACCCAAGAGAAGACTTCTTCCCCCTAGGCTGTGCGATTCCCATTCCAGAAAGACTAGCTGGGCCTCCCACCCAGTTGCTCTGCTGCTGACGGGTTAAATATCTTTTTATTCAGGCAGGCTTTTGGGAAACTGACCGGTTCCTGAGGAGGGTCATTGCTGTACTTAATTCAGCCATGCTTGTTTTTAATTCATCTGTATTCTATTGCTATGGTTTTAAAATTGCCTTCTAATGTTGTAAATCTTTATTGTTTTACTTCCTCTTGTTGCGAGCTACCTGGAATCCCCGTGTTCAGGGGAAACAAAGGCAAAAATAAAGGACATAAATCAAATAAATAAAGAACTAGGTGTATTGAGTTAGCAATCAGGGCTCTGAGTCCGATTTAGCCAAAGCTGTGTAAGCCAAGAGTCAAGCTAGGGGTTAAGTAAGAAAAATTCTTCTACCCTGCAGTTTGCCCATTTTCCCGTCTCTACAGCATACTTTCTCCAGAGGTAGGAGCCTCTGTAAACAGACTTGCATTTACTTGCCAATGTCCGGTCACAAAACAAAGCACCTTGGAATGCAAGCGCCAGAGGAGAGGAGATAAGCACATGCCATGGCTCATGATCAATATATGCCTTTCACACCCAAGGGAGGGCTCTTTTAAGCACAAGCTGAGTGTGTCATCTCATTCAACCTCAAGTCTTAGCTGCAGTCCCTGCATGGACCGTGTGTGTGTGTGTGTGTGTGTCCATGATCAATATATGCCTTTCAGACCCAAGGGAGGGCTCTTTTAAACACAAGCTGAGTATGTCATCTCGTTCAGCCTCAAGTCTTAGCTGTGGTCCCTGCATGGACCATGTGGTTTTTTTTGAAAATCCTGTTGGGTCTGAACCATCTCTACATACCTGCATGGGTCAAGGGCCAGGGTCCGTCAATAAGGGCGATGTAGCCAGAGAGGAAGGTGACGATCAGTCCGTGCACCAAAGTGACCAGCCGGCAGCTCCATTCTGGGGTGCGGTGTTTGTTCCGACACCAGAAGCCAGTATAGAGGGAGACCCAAACCAGAAGGCTCAAGAATGCTTGAAGTGCGATAGAGACCATCCTGCCTGGAAAAGAGAGTAAGAAAGAAGGAAGCGCTTGAAGTGCGATAGAGACCATCCTCTTCCGCCTGGAAAAGAGAGTAAGAAAGAAGGAAGAATGGATGTGCGAACAGATCAGGTCCAGTGAGCCAAGCTGCACATTCCAAAGGCTCACATGGTATGATACAGACATGCCAGGATTGGTCTTCTACAGGATGTGGGGGTGCTCAATTTGATGCTCCTTAGTTAAAATAATGACCCTCCAAGCAACAGTCACAATCACCTTGCTAGTAGACAGAGAAAGCACGATGACGGTGGTGAAAGATCAAGGAGTGTAGCTACGTTGTTCCCTGGGCTATAAGATATTTCAACCCAACGAGCTCAGATAATTTTCAGCAGGCATTGTTCATACAATTTCTAGGTCAGTGGTTCCCAACTTTTTTTCAAGTTGTGACCCCCTTTTAGGAAACTTTGATCTCCCACTGCCATATTTGCATAAAAAGGCATTTTTAATGTGATAAAGCCATCCCTTCTCAGAAAGCAGAGGCTACTTTCTCCCCCAAAGGGCCTGTTTCTCATACATACACATACATGCTAACTTTTGTATCCTGCTTTGAAAGGTCAAGGAAGAAATTATCCCACAAGGGCTGCAACAAATGTACGGCTACCCGAGACCCCCCTGAAAACACTTTAAGACTTCCTTTAGGGTCATAATGATTCCCGGGTTGAGAAACACTGATCTAGATCCTAATATTTAGACTATTTTCTCATCCAGAGAGATGGAGGTCATGCTTTGGGTCCATCATCCCCAGATATCTGGGGGATTCTGGTAGTTGTACACCAAAGAAGCAACTTTGAAAAGCAGTGTTTTCAAGCCTAGTGGTTAGGGTTCACTCCTTATTTGCCTGTCATTCAGGACAATTGAAAAGATGGCTTCCTTTTCCTTTAATCCAGGAATGGCAGCCTTTGTCCTTTCACGGATTTGCGATGCTCTTTGGCTCAAGAGAGACTCGCCTTTCAGGTTCCTCAACAGAACGGATGGCCCTCTGATGCAACATAACTGGAAGAGAGGCTTCCATGGGCAGGTGCCACTCAGAACATCTTGCAGTCATTTGATCAGCAGCCAAATGATCTTTAGTCAGCTGAAAAAAGAGACTGGAATCTGGATGAGACAGAGAATGCATTCTTGATGCATATGTTGTGAACCTAGCCATGGGTGCATGATTTGACAGCCGCAGACAGACAACTGGGAGGGACACCACGTGGGCCGGCAAAACCCAGTGTTTGTCTTATTTCCTGGATACCTAGTTGATCATTCACACACACAGCAGGGTTATACATTTGCATATCCAGCTGTTCAGTTAGTCTAATGGAATTGCAAATTGTAGCCAACCACAGGACCCATTGATGCACAGGAGTCTTTCACCTCACAGGGAAGTGAATTTAGAACCTTTCTTCCTTGTTGCTTTTCCTGTTATGGGATGGAGCTGATGAACGGTCACACGTTGGCAATTTTCAAACAGCTGATGGATCCCAATAAGGAAGGGGACCCTGTCTCTGCAAACAAGCAAGCAAGCAAACAAAAACAAAATAAAACAAAAAAAACCCCCACCAAACCCACCATATTTGCTACAGAACACTTCTGTTTTTTTTTTTTTTAATGGCAGGGCTGATAACTGCATTGCCCAGTAAAGGCCTCTTGAGTGGTACTGCCTCCAAATGAAGTTTTAGGAGCAATATTGCCAGACACACCTAAGGTGGTAAAGGCATCTTGAGTGGTACTGCCTCCGAATGAAGTTTTGGGAGCAATATTGCCAGACACACCTAAGGTGTACTCCTCTGTATGCACCCATTGTTGCCCTGGGGAAATAAAAACCACCGTTTTGGGAAACTGGAAAAGTTCCTTCAGACAGTGCAGGTGTTATGAAAAGTTGGTTCAGACCTACAGAGCTCTAGGGAAGCCAAGGGAGTGGCAACCTGAATTGCCGACCATTGCCAATACATTTGCTGGTTAGGTTATAAATCAGTGGTCAAAACCCTGTTGCTGAGCGCCGGAAGTCACCAACCAACCAACCAACCAACCAACCAACCAACCAACCAACCAACCAACCAACCAACCAACCAACCAACCAACCAACCAACCAACCAACCAACCAACCAACCAACCAACCAACCAACCAACCAACCAACCAACCAACCAACCAACCAACCAACCAACCAACCAACCAACCAACCAACCAACCAACCAACCAACCAACCAACCAACCAACCAACCAACCATTTCTAACACTGTCGGGGGGCGAGAGATGTACTATCTTGTGGCTTCTCCCTGTAAATGAATCTCCTAGACCCAGAAGTGCTATCTGTTTTCAATTCTAAATAAGATATATCAATCTTTTCCTTCTCTCTTCCTCTTTCCCCCCTCTCTCTCCACCCTTGCCTTTTCTTTCCATTTTCCTCTTTCAGTCCCTCTCCCACCCACCCCACTCCTAGCCATCCCATCATTTTGTCTGCTTCTCTTTCTCCTATTCTTCATGTAAAGGAGGTCTAGCAACATCAAGCCAGGAAAGACATCAGCCTACCAACTCATCATCATCATCATCATCATCCCTTCTCTTTCTCCTATTCTTCGTGTAAAGGAGGTCTAGCAATATCAAGCCAGGAGAGACATCAACATCATCATGATGTGCCATCAAGTCAACTCTGACTTATGGCAACCCTTTCCAGGGTTTCCTAGGTAGAGTGTATTCAGAAGTGGTTTTCCGTTCACTTCTTCCAGGGGATGGCCCTGGAACTACTGTCCAGCTTGCCCAAGGCCACCCAGGCAGGCTCTTCTCCTGGGAGGCCCAGCGATGAATCAAACACCCAACAGATCCCTAAACCACGGAGCTACCCAGCCAGCAGCTAGAGATCAACAAACTGGGAGACAGTGCTCAACATCTGCCTTGGGTTCTAACGGCAGGGTAGAAATATTTTAAGTAAAACAAATGAGTAAATAAACATCACGTGTATCCTTCTTAGGGTTTGATTTGTTCCCTCCTTTCCTCCTTTCCCCTCCTGTGGATTTCCTGCTTAATTCAAGCGATTCTTAGATTTAGAATAGAAAAGATGGGTCGCCTTCCCTCAAGTACTCACCTGCAAAAACTCCCCCCAGTTCCTTGGCAGGTAGAACGGCTGAGAAGTCAAATTTCCAGCCGTCTACCCGTGGCCTTTTCAGCTGCTTCCTTCCCGAGTGACCAGTTTGTACCAGCCGGGCAGGCAATTCGGCTTCCTCGAGTTGTCTTCCTAGAGAGGCGGCTCAGGCAGCCTTTTAATCTCCAAAACCGAGCCGCATGGAAGCAAATATCTCCTGATGAAGGATCCCGGGAAGGTCAGGGAGCTCCCACAGATGTCTGGAGGAGGAGGACAAGGAGCTGTTGTGGCCACAACGCCTCCACAGTTCCTTTTATAACGGCAGCCTACGCTCCGGTCACCCATCCAGTAAGACGAGATTCTTGGTTGATTACATTACTCCAGTCACATCAGAGGCAAGAACAGCAGATGGCCTAGGAGGAAGGGCTCTCTCCAGGAATCCTCCCACCTCTGTAGTGGGGCTCCGAGGGCCACGGTTCTGTCATCATGCGCTCACGAGCCCTTGGATCTCTTTCGCCACCCAAATGCTGGTTTAGGGGATGTCCAGATAATCTTAGCATCTGTGGCGCAGGACAGGTAGGTTTGTGTGATGTAAAACATCCTAATGGGACCTGGGAGGATTGGACCAGAGGATGTTGCCAGTGGTTCGGGATCAATCCAGGATGTTTACTATTGTCTCTCAGCTTTTCAGTCTCCCCAGGAAGGACAGTTTTCCCTCTTGCTTGCTACCTGCAATTTTTTTTTTCCAATTAGAAATCTTGGGAGTCAATTCAAAACATCCTGCATTCAAAGCCAGTGGTGGTCAGCATCTTCTGTGTCTCCTGGAAGGCAATGGCATGTAGATCTGAGGGGAATTTACATTCCTCCCAAAGCCCATGCACACAAACACAGGCCGAGAAGCACACCAGCGTTTCCATATAGTGATGCAGTGCATTTGAGAGTGCAGATGCGCGTCACAAAGGTCCCCACTGCCAGCCTTTCCACCCCATAGAAAGGGTCCAGATATGCCAGCAGTTGGACCCGTGTGTCTCAACCACTGAGGAGCAGGTGTTTTGTAAGGTTAAGGGATTTACATTCTCAATTCAAGACCAAACCGCCCTGAAATAATTTTCATCACATTAGAGATCGTATGCAACAATATACTGTGCTTGGGACAATTGCTTTCTTTCCCATCTACTGCAGCAGCTGCCTTTAAGCTCAGAAGAGACAGGGAAGCCTAAAGGTTAGGGCAGGTGATGCCGTATTCCCTGCTACTCAGAAAGTCCCAGACCTTTGATGCTGCCAACATGGGCTTCATTGCGCTGCCATCCACACACAGAAGCAGCAGGATTTGGGTGTTCCGAGTCCGGCAGGGCTTTGTCCCACCTCATGTGCTCACTCAGAATGAGATGCCTTGCTCCAAATCTGAAATCTTCTCATCGGCTGCCGGGTGGTGCTGCTGCCTCCTCCCTCCCCGCAGAGCCTGGATCCTCGCCGTTCATGCAGAAGGAGGGTGAGGGGGATGTGTTCTGGCCTGTTGTGGTATGAAGGCAGGCAGGTGTGGGCTGGGAGTCACCTGGCCTTATGGTGGGGAGTATCCAGGGCCATGAGTAGCAATTTGGGTCTTTGTTGGCTAAGCTTGGATCTCGCCAGATGGGCTTGGGGTGGGGGGAGAGAAGGAAGGAAGTAGAAATGAAAGGATGGAATGACAACATCAGATCCGCCTGTTTTGGGTCTTCGTCTGCCTGGGAAGGTGTGGCTGGAGGCTGGATTCGCATTCAGGGCAGAGCCCATTCAGAAGCAATACCCATGGATGGGGTTGCAGCCTCCCACGAGCAAACATATCACCCTCTAAGTTTCGGCCCCCTACCTCCCACCCTAGTGTGGGCAGCTTCCCCATCTCCCTAAGAG